TCCGGGCATTAGCTCGGTCCTCTCCTGGTCCCTGGTCTCCGGTCACCAATCTACGGTCTACGGTCTTTGGTCCGACGGACGCTCTAATTTGTACAGACCGCAAAGTTCATAGCAAATTAGTTGATTAGTTTAACGTCGATGACGAGGAGGCTTTGGTTGGCTTTTGGCATGGAATGGGAGTATCTCTCTGTTGGCATTTCATATTGGCCTGGCCGCATTTGTTCAGCTGCAAATTTTATAATTCAATCAGTGCCGAGACACACAGGCTCACACTGCTTTCAGATACAGATACAAATGTAGCTACAGATACTGAGACACAGAGATACAGAGACTTGGTAATGCGGCAATTCGAGTGTGGAAAGCTATGGGGGCGGATGGCCAAAAACAAGAACAACCATAAACAAACATTTGGTGGTCGTTAGTGCCCTTCTGGATGCTGAATGCCGGATCCTGGATTCAGGATACCCCTCCCCATATTCCATCCCGATCCGCGGCACTCAAATGCGTTTTATTGTGAATTTATTAAGCGTGCCCAAGGCGAACATTAAGTGCCTGGTCGGTGACACACCAGTCGACGGGTATACGGGTGCCGGAGATGATTAAGGCGGCTCTGGGTCAGCAATAAACTTGGCCATAAGCGGCAGCCACAAAGCCACAAAATGTGAAGTGCCCGGAAAGTAAAATTATTCAAAGCGGCGTTGGGAGTTTGTACCTACTTAGGTGGATATTTTTAAGGAATATGTACAAAAAATGGTAAATAGGGAATACAAATGAGTTTAATATTCCGGCTAATTCTGATCTTAAATTTAAAAACAATATATTCTAGGGGTTTAAGGTTTAAAAGACTCTATCTCCAGGCCGATATCCTTTCTGAGCTTCCTTTTACATCTCCATGGCCCCAGACAGACTGAGATCCTAATGTCAGGGTGGCTGAAAACCGCTTATGTGTCAGCAGAAAAGCGGCTTGGCTTACAATTTAGCTAACTGCTTGGGATATAAGTCTCTCCCTTGGTACTCCCAGCCATCATGTGTGGAAAATAATTGTTATGGCCGTAACAAAATCCTTTCTGTTGCCATTTAAAACAATTTCGAAACACTTTGCCGGGACGCTTAACATGGCTGACAACAAATTTGACACACCAAGAGCCGCTTTAATCAATATAATAAAAGGCATTTGTTAAATTACCAAAGCAGTGGCAGTGAGAGCAGAAAGCTAGCAACAAAAAAATTGGTTAACAGGCACAGTAAAGTATTCTGCAAAAAAAAAAAACAGAAAAAAAAATTTAATTAAATTTATAACGCAAAGCCGCAAAACCCAGAGAAGAGATTTATGTGCCCGTTAATTTTGTCAAAGCGAGTAGATGGTGTTGTCCTGATTGTTGTTCTTGTTCTTGTTCTTGGCTAAGTGTCCTGCCGGCTAAAAGGAGTGTGCAAAGAGCACCGCACCACCACTAAGGCAAAAAGCAGTAAAAACAAGCAGGAGGAGATTGAAGAAAACAAAAAAAAAACACAAAAACCTCACCGGATTTCCTGTGATATGCCACAATATTTTCCATTAACGCGCTGGAGTTACCAGAAAGTGGCAGCCAGAGAGCGAATAAACTGGAAACAGGTCTCGATAAGGAAAAATATACGTATATATGGAAGAAAGAGCGAAAAAACCATACGGGGGGAAAAAAAAGGGCACGAAGGAGGAAAAACAAAAGGCTAAATGTGCGTTGCGTTTTGGTCCAGGCCACTTCACTTTACTCTGGATTCTAGTCTTCTGGCTTGTGTATTCCGGATTCAGGGCCCTCTCGATTCTCGATTGGTGTCTCTAGGCCTTATAGCCTTCACAGCCTCATAGCCTTATGGGCCTATTGCTCTCCAAAGCCAACAGCCAGCAGCCAGCAGCCGACAGCCTCCCCTCTGCGACAGTTGCCGGCTTTGTATGAGTTAATGACTTGTAGATAGTTTAACTTACAAAGCAGCCAGCAGGCCATCTAAGCCACACCGATATGATGGTCAGGGCGACTGCCTGAAACGGGGTAATGGCAGGGGCAGGGGAGTGGACCTTTCGAGTACGTTGCGTTTGACCATTAGTGCGACATCCGGCGTTGCGCTTGGCTTGGTTTGTGCCACACGAAGCAGCCAGATGAGCAGCAGCACGAGATGATCGCATGCAAAGTGGCCACTTGGCGAAATCATTCTGCAAATTGTAGTTTTAGAAAGAAAAAAAAAGTTACTTGACTATGAAATGTTATATATTTCAAGCCATCTTTTGATTCAAAACCTCAAAAATGAAAAAGCATATTAAGCCACAAACCTCGCATCTCTAAAGTCCTGGCTGCACCCTTGAAGAAAAACCAATTTTCAAACTTTTGAGGCCAATACAGGCCAACACAGTCACTTAGCTTGTGGCCAAAAGAAACGACTTCAGCATAGGCTCAGCCCAACGGCAGGACTGGGCCAGGCTAGAAGGATAGAGTAAGGATATCATCGAGCTCTGTCTTCATCGAGTACGAACGTACGTTTTGCGGTTAAGCAGTTAGTTAAGTTTGCGTACAATTTGTGGGACCAGTTGACAATTACAGCTGCCATTGGGCCGCAACTCTGACCTCTTCCTGTTCCCTGTTCCCTGTAGCCAGTACCCTATTCCCTATTCCCAGCCCTGACCACTGGCCAGAAACCCATGAATGAAATGCTAAACCGGTTGGGTCTTTAGCCTTCTGCTGCTCATCTTTCATTTACTTTGCACTTACTTCACTCGACTGAGCCGAGTGTGTTGTGTATGGTATTGTATGGGTGTGTGTTTTGGCCGTCTTCCTTCGACGACTGCTTCTGTTACCTCTTCGCTTCCTACTGTCACACTTCAAGGATTTCTTTGTTGGCCATCCTGGCCAACTGCATGCATATGTGTGACAATTACCCGCCGCTTATTGTCTTTTGTTTGCTTCAGCGGGGTGGCTGGCTTTCCTGCCAAACGTTTCTTTGCCCTTTTGGCCGTGTTTTTGTAAACAGCAAAAAAAAACTGTCTTCAGATAAGGGATAAAAATTGGTAAATTAATTAAATTGTTTAAAAACTTTGAGGGGTTGTCATTAGGAGAATTGTAGTCTTTCAATTAAAAAGGTTAAAAATAAGAGGTTTTTATATAAAACCTTTAGAAACTAGCAACCTGATTGCCTTAATTGTATAGCTTAAATACTTCTTAGAATCCTTATATTTGGGTTATTAGAATACAATATTTTCTTGTAGTGCACCTGCCGTAATGACACTAAATGAGTTGTATGCAAGTTGCCATCGTTGTTGCACTCGCCGTGGGTTGGGTCTCAGTTTTCTCCGGTTGTGTCTGTGTTTTTGTCGTCATTGTCAGAGCAAAAACCTGTCAAGTTGTGCTGCTTTTTGTTGGCGTTTTTTTTCTTCTGCTGGTTGCTGGTTAATTGCCGCAGGAAATGTTCTGCCAGTGCCGAGTTGGTCAACTGTCGCTTGGCTTAATTGCTTGAACTTTGGCCGGGGACCAGAAGAAGAATAATGGCTGAATGCAAATCGAGGCGCCCTCAAAACGAATGACTAACTTTACCCTGTGGGTGGCCAATGGTCACATTTTCCCATTTCCGCTGTTACCAAATCATATCCGTTTTTCACCTCCTCCACTGCCCCAACCACGTCCACCTCCGACCTCTACCCACCGGTCTTCGGATGGACTAGTTTCAAGACCATCTCGTTCGGACAATGTCTTCCAAGACAAATAATCAATTAATCCACTGATGAAGTCCACGACAGAAATGTTTGTTTTGTTTTATTTGTCTGGCCATTTGTAGCTCCCAGATATAGAGTCACGCAGCACAGTGGCTCGGAAACCAGTTTAATTGAGCAGTGTTCTTAGCCAAATCGAATTAAACTTGTTTCGATTGGGTATTAAAAATGTTATTAGAGATTTGCAGAGCTTGATAAATGGCTAATTCATTAGCGGAGCGTATGCTCGAATTATTTATGGCCAGATAGCAGCGACAGTTGTCTTTAGCTGGCTAATTTATAAGAACTTGATCGAGAATTGATTTATGGCATAGCAGGTAACTGCGTCTTTATTTTTTGTTAACTTTCTCTCCTACAAATGTCACCCACACATGATATTTTCACTAGAATTTCCTACGATTTTGTGACAATGTGGCGCGAGTCTCGTAGATGCCTTTTATTGTATACCTATGTAGATTGCTCTAATGCTGATTAGGTCGTCGATGACACACACACGCTGATAAATAAATACCTATATACGTACACGATTATGTGTATGCGTCTGGGCCAAGAGTGAGTAGGCCGTTCAATTTGGTATCGAACGTGGCCCGGTCGTTTCTTTAAGACATTTTAATGCTAATGAGCCGCAAGCTGTAGACCTACTTTGGCTTAGGTGTGGGCTGATATAGCGTCAAACAGACTGCGGGGAGAACTCGGAACGAGACCTACCGATGAACGGACAAACGGACTGACGGACAGACGGACAGATACATCCATGTCTCAATGACAGCCTGAGAGTACCCCTGACACATGTGAGCCGAAAGGAAACAAGTCTCGAAACAACGAACAAAAAAAATAAGTTGTTCCAAATTAGTGCGATGTGACTGAGCGACGTCGTCGGGGCTTACGCTTAAGTAATGTGTATTTTATGTGTGGGCTGTAAAACTGAGTAACCGTGGGGCTCCAGTTGCTCCTCCGGCTCGGATGCCCTGGCTCTCTGGGTCTCTGTGCTCTAGCCCCTGACAGGTCGACATCCATGTCGATTCCATGCCAATTGAACGGTTCCCATTGCCGGTGCACTTGGCAAACTACGTGCGCAAATGTCGAACGTGCCGATTAACCATGCGAATTTTCCTGCCTCTCGTTTTAATGTACACTGAAAAAAAACTACACAACAACATAAATTCTACAAATTTCAATAAGGTTTAAAAAGGAATAATTATATAGAACAATCTAAGCCCCAGCTTTCTAACTAACAAATTTCCCTTTTTTTCTTTCTCTGCAGTGGCTACCAATTGTCATGGAATGGCCACCGTGTCCGCCTCGCTACCCACTCCGGCTGCCCAGGTGGCGCCAGCCCCATCCCCGGCCGGTGTGGCCTCCCCAGTGGTGCAAAAGTTTCGGGTAACCCCCCACGATCTGCAAATTCTCGAGGGCACCGACACCCTCCTGCGCTGCGAGGTGTCCTCCCGTGCCGGCAAGGTGCAATGGACCAAGGATGGCTTTGCGCTCGGCTTCTCGGCGGTGATACCGGGCTACCCCCGCTACTCGGTCCTGGTCGATACCAAGCAGGGGGCCTACAACCTGCAGATCAAGAACGCCTCGCTGGAGGACGATGCCGAGTACCAGTGCCAGGTGGGTCCGGCGGCGGGAAATCCGGCCATCCGTGCCAACGCCAAGCTGAGCATTGTGGCGGCCCCGAGTAGCATTGTCATCGAAGGATATGCCCGAAATGCCAAGGTGGAGGTGGAGGAGCGCCAGAATCTGACGCTGCACTGCATCGCCGAGAACGCCAATCCGGCGGCGGAGATTGTCTGGTACCAGGGTGATGTACCAGTGCCCATGGGTAAGTTTTGAGGATAAAGGACTGGGATATCCTGTCGCAAAGGTATTAATTTTTATTTCGCATTCACTTTTCTCGCTGTGCAGCTCCCATTGTCTCTGTGAATCAAACTGCACCAAAACGATTTACGACTAGTTCCACGCTGCACCTGCAGCCGCACTCTGAGGACGACTACAAGGACTTCTCCTGCGAGGCACGCCACAAAGCCCTGCCCCCCGATGTCCCGATGCGCGCAACCGTCCAGCTGTCCGTTTTGTGTAAGTGCCCCGAGCTCGGCTCCCAGCCGGAGAAGTCTCTAATAAAAACACACTCCACTCCCATAAAACAGACCCACCTGGAGCTCCGTTTTTCGAGGGTTATAGCCAAGGCGAGAGCCTGCATCGCGGCCAGGATGTGCAAATAGCTTGCCGCAGTCGTGGTGGCAATCCTCCGGCCCAATTGACCTGGTACCGAAATGGTGTGGCCGTCACTTCCCCCCAACGCACCTCGGGCCGCCTATCTGAGAACATTTACAAGTTCACAGCCTCCGAGGAGGACAATGGCGCCAATTTGGTTTGCGAGGCAAAGAACCTTCTTTCGATTAGTCCCCTGCGCGCCGAAGTCAACCTCACCGTGCTGTGTAAGTATCTTCAAAAAATATTCATTAAATAATGGATCATTAGAGGTATGACTTAATCCATTAGATGCCCCCAAGGATGTGTATCTGAGTGGCGCGAACCAAGCCAAGGTGGGGGATACTGTGGAGCTCAGTTGCGTGACAGCTCCCTCAAATCCTCCGGCCCGGATCAGTTGGTCCCTGAACGGACGTCCCCTGACCAATAGCACCTTCAAGACCACCAGCAGCTCTGGTGGTGGCTGGGTCAGTAGCTCCAACATCAGTCTGACCATTGACTCCCAGAGCAGGACCTTCATAGCTGTCTGCCATGCCCTTAACACGGAGCTGACCCAGAATGTGGTGGGTTCCCACACCGTAAATGTGCTCTGTAAGTGTAGTTGTTTTTTGTTTAAAACGTAAGTGATTTTCCTAATTTGGAACCCCTTCTTCAGACGCCCCTTCGCCTCCGCTATTAACTGGCTATAACGATGGCGATATTTTAATTTCCGGCTCGATATTAAAACTCCAATGCAGTTCGGCCGGCGGCAATCCTCCGCCCACTCTGCAGTGGTACAAAAACGATAAAAGACTCAACGCCCCCTCCAAGCTGGTTGACAGCAAAATCAGCTCGGAGCTCTCACTTCTGGTTAATGCCTCCGACAATAATGCCATTTACAAGTGCGAGGTTCAAAATGCTGCCATTGACATACCACTCTTTGCCACCAAAACTCTGGGAGTTCATTGTAAGTTTGTTAAAATTAAAATTGGGGATTTACTTTAAGACATTTGCTATTTTTACTTCCCAAACACCAGTTCCTCCAGAGACAGTTAAAATCAGTGTGGTGCCCAAGAATCTGGTGCCCGGAATTCGGGCAAAGCTCATCTGCGACTCTAGCTCTAGTAATCCTCCGGCCAAGATTAGTTGGTGGAAGGACGGCATTCCCGTGGAAGGCCTCAACTTGGCCAACAGGCCAGGCCTCTGGGGCGGTTCGGTGTCAACGCTGGAAATGTACGTGAACATTACCCAGGATCTGGATGGCATTATCTATACCTGCCAGAGCCACAACGAGGTATTGCAGCGAAGCGTACACGAAACCATCAGCTTGGACATACTTTGTAAGTCTATTGTCTTTTATTTCGATAGATAAATTGTTAAAAAAATATATAATTGTGCCCTAGATCCCCCCAAGTTTGAGACCGCACAGTCCACTAGTTTCGTGGGTGTCGAGGACGCTCCGTTCCATGTGGAACTGGTGGCCAGCGGAAACCCCATGTCAATTAGTTATACCTGGACCAAGGATGGCCTGCCCATTAGCAGCAACAGCTTGAGCGGCCAGCGTTTGATCTCCGACGGACCACGTCTCAATATCAGTCGTCTAAGTCGCAACGATGCGGGTGTCTATGTCTGTGAGGCTTTAAATAGCCAAGGCACGGCGCTGCGGGAGATCCAAATAGACGTTGAATGTGAGTATTGTGACTGTGACCTCCAGAGTACATATATAATAGATTTATTTTTAATTATGTGATTTCTATTTCCAGATGCCCCTACGATTACGTCGGTGAGCGAGGGCCGCAGCTTTGTGGCCGGCGAGCCGGCAGTCTTGGCCTGTCACATTCAGGCCCGGCCCCTGGAGGCCGCCCATGTGCGGTGGGTGCGCGACGGCTACGACCTGTCCACCCGCACTATGTCCAGCTTCGAAAACGGCACTGCCCTGCTCCAGATAGCCAGTGTGGAGCGGAGTGACATTGGCAACTTCACCTGCATTGTGGACAACCAACGAGGAGCTCCGGCGGCCCAAAACGTCCTCCTAGTTGTGCAAAGTAAGTAATGAAAACGAGACTTTATTGCTTTACAAGTTTAGAAATACGATCCAAGAGACTCAAGCCTAAAATCCCTCATAATTATTTACTTGACAACCCCCTTAGCTTCACCGGAAATCGACCATACCCCTGCCTTTACCCGATACGCTGCCCGGTTGGGCGTTCGGGCCCAGCTAGTGTGCCGGGCTTTGGCCTCCCCCCAGCCCAGTTTCATTTGGCGTCGCCATGGCAAGGACCTCAAGATGCAGCGCAGGAACAAGTTCAAGAGCGTCGAGCGTCAGGTGGACGTCCTGAACTATGAGTCGGCTCTTTTGATAGAGAACACGTCCGCCGATGACTACGGCCAGTACGAGTGTGTGGTCCGAAACGCCTTGGGCCAGGCCAGCACTACGCTGGAGTTCAGTAAACCTACACGACCAGATGCTCCTCTGCAGCTCAGGGTGGGAAATGTGAGCGACACGGGAGTGGAGCTCAATTGGCTGCCGGGCTTCGATGGCGGCATGCAGACCTACTTCCGTTTGAGGTTGAAGCAGCAGGGCGAGGATAAGTACAAGTATGTGGACGCCAAGCCGGGTAACTTGAATGTATCTCTCGATGGCCTGAAGCCCGGGGCCACCTACTACTTCTCAGTGATGGCAGCCAACGAGGCGGGGGGCAGCAAGTTCATGCCGGACATCAAGCTGACCCTGAGCAAGGGGTCCCAGCCCCATTCGGCGGAGTATACGGAAAAGGACGAGCTTCCCAATGTCATGATCATTGGAATAACCTCTGCTGCCATGGTGCTGTTGGTCCTAAACGCCGCCCTGGTGGCCTGGTTTGTGATTCGTCGCCAGAACAAGTCCCAGAGCGAGGCCGAGCCCAGCAACGATGATGTCTACTCCAAGGACGACAGCCAGTCGGTTTACAAGGTAAGAACCTATTAACCCTTAACCCGGCTAAGTTCTAACATACTGACTAAAAACCCTTTCGATTTCCGCAAACTCTAACCAGCTGCCCATCACTGCTTTGCAGGCGGATGTACAGAAGAAAGCAGCCGCCTCCACTTACCTTGTGGAGAACGTGGACATCATCCAGTCGACATCGTATCCCCCCAAGTACCAGGAGAGCTCCATGTGCACGCCACCGTATCCGCTATGCAATCCGGACTTTACCCGCACCCTGCCTAATCCCAAGAGGCACAGTCAAAGGAACAGTGCCACGGGCCTGATCGAGGGTATGCCGATGCGTTCCAAGGACGATCACATGCTGATCTCTAATGGACTGTACATCCCGTCACCTTCGCCGGCCTCCTCTCTGGTCATCAAGGGCAGTTACATATCGTCGCCATCGCCGGCGCCACCTGCCGATGGATCTTACTTCAATATGAGCGATAAATACATGTCCTATCCTCCAGTGGTAAGTTTTTCAAGATCTTCTAATACCCATACATTTGGTTTAATTTCCCCATAAACTAAAATACACATTATCGTTCGTTCTCCTCCAAATTATGAGGCTTACAAAGAACAAAATATATTTTCCCGATTGAGCGATACTTAACATAATTATCTAGATCAATTCTAGTAATTAACAGCTTGTTATAGCAACCTGTGTTTATCGCATTTCTCATGAAACCATTCCCCGCCTGGGCTGCTCTTTTCCTCCACAGACTTACTGAGCGTCAGTGACAGGCACGGAAAGCCCAACCCAGCCAAACCCAGCTAGACTGATTGACATACATCATTCATAATCACCTTGCAGAGAAAAATCAAAATCGAGAAAAACATAAACACGAACCACACGAACGAACCCCCATAGAACCCACAGAACTGGATGGACTGCCATCGAATGGAGGAGCGCGTTTCGTGTCATTTTGATTGTTTTGGCCGTCGCTGGTTATTCACATATTGAATATTTTTATTTTTATTTTGATTTGGATTTTATGTTTGTAATTATTACTATATGACGTTGATTATTACGGAGCGCAAATGGAGAAACCATGTTGAGTGTGTTTTGAGAAAAGACATTTGCATGCGGCGCTCGAAGGCTGTGATAAGTACCTGTACCCAAAGCTCTGGCAGACGTTGGCCCGAACCACAACAACACCACACCAATACAATTCAAATCTCAGATACTCAGAGAACACGCGAGCCACGTTAGCCACAAAACCAAAAAAAACAAGAAATTATCTAGAAAATACCCTAGAATATGGGTGTTATTGGTTTGGCCACGGGGCAGGTGCGCAACCCGCTCTACAAAATGCTTGCCCTCCACCCAGTTTTTAGTCCACATCCGATTAAAAAAGAAGAAAACCTAAAACAGCAGCATTAGTAGACAAAAAAAAACATAAAAACAAAACAAAAAAAACAATTTTACTCTTAAAATATTAATTTGTAGTAAGATTTTTCGATATTAAGTAGTAGGAATTACGCATTTTAGCATTTAGAATAAATATTAACGAGTCTGTCGAGTCGTGACTCATTCTCATTAGCAGTTGTTCAAGTTTAAGCTATAGGACATACCAATATTTATCAATATACGTACTATACATAAATCTAAATATACAGACATCCACACCAGTCCCGAACTCCAAATCACCAAATAGATCAAAAATAGTAACATCAATTATTGAAACGAAAACGAAAACTATTTTTAAGTGTGATTTTTTCTAGACCTAAGACAGGGGACATACAAAATAAATATACATATATACATATATTCGAAATAAACAACGTATTTACATCATTCAACGACTATCTTTTTATCATGCATGACAATAATTATATACATGGTAAAAAAACAAAAACAGTTGAAACATTCACGCGCGAGCGCCAAAAATTATGCTAAAGAACTCTATAAAAACAAATTCAATGAAAATGTTAATTATATAAATTAGACTTGAACGGCATTTGCATTTAAATTGAAATCGAAATCGAACAAGCTAAGTATGTGTATAAAAACTTTCATTAAAGTAAATATTTAAATGTAACATTTAAAATATTAAAAACAAGGTTTACCAACAAACCTTGCAAAAAATTAAAAAACCTAAAAAAAAAAAACAAAAAACAACAATTTTTGTATCTTTAAACAAAGAAAAATATTTGAATAAAATTACAAATTTTTCAAATTAAAATTTCTGTTATCTTTTGGGGGAGGGGAAGAATTCTATAATCTTTGGCGGTTATCTTCAGAGCTTCCTTAAAGACGGATATTTGTCCGGTGTCATCAATCAGCACTCTGGCTCCAGTCATCATTCATCTTTCACATCGCCCCCAGGGCTTTCTCCGAGTAGGCGTGGCCACTTGCACCTTAAATGCCGCCTAATTGATTCTAATATTCGGGGCCAGACACAGCGGCGGCACTTTGTTCGGGGAACTGGTATTAATTAATAGCATCCGCCGCTCGGCTTAATTAATGAATATAATAATACTCATTTTTAATTTTTAAAATGTGAAATTAACGGATCAGAGGCTTTCACAGCCTCCAGAAATCGGCAAACATAACAGGTGGTCTTCCAACTCTATCATATTGAGTTTCCTTCAATTTCAGTTTATTGAGTTTGAAATGAAAGTTGCCTTTCATGTAGTGGTATAAGCCAGAAATAGAGATTCCTTCAAACATATTTTATTTGTTTTCGATTTTGCTGACTGGCAGTGATTTCATTTTAATTAATAATCAATTTGGCAGAATTCGATTTTGCATTCATTTTGGCTTTCATCGAAATGAAATGTAGTTGGCTGTGAAATAATTTGTTTACTTATTGTATTGATTCGCCATATCCACAAGGTTTTTGGCCTGGCTCGGCCCCGGACCTGCCAGTCTGGTGGATTTATTAAATTCTGATTGTTTATTATGAAAGTTAATTTGAGTATTTGTTTATTCGCCAGCCATACATGCAATTGCAGTTAATTAAAACATATAGTTGCGCTTAGCTTCGGGTTTGGCTTACTTCATAAACAGTATTGGCATATTTTTATAATCCAATCTATTCTCAAAATAAATTCAATTTTAATTGCCATGTTTGGCTGCCTCTCAGCGCATTTATGTTACTATTGTGGTGCATAAACATTTTGAACCCTTTTTCTGGTTCATATACGCCTCGATTGCCACTCCATCGTAATAGTAGAAAAATAAAACAATTAAAATTAATTTTCAGCATTGCCTTCGAACTGGAGCCGGGCAGGAGCCAACAACAGCGACAAAAACAACAATGCATAATTAAGTACACTGAATTCATTAAATTTTAATTAAAACATTTGAACGGCCAATGGATTTTTATTTTGCCTGGCAACTTAGCTCAGGCTCTGCCACTAACCAACAATAAAACTTGCTCGAAAGGGATAAGGAGCCTCCAACGATTTTCAAATGCCCTGACAGGCTTTCCAAACGGCAAACAAAGTGCTGCGATGCCTTTCTCCTTTTCAGTTTTAGGGTATCAGCCTGGCCCGGTCGTGGAAAGTCAACAGAACCATCACAAAACGGAAAACTTCATTAAAAGTGGGCAGCAGTTGGCAGTTGTTGTTTGAGGAAGGGGGAGGCAATGGGGCAGGGTCTGGGAAGGCAGAGGAAAGTCCAGAGATGAGGCAGGAGCAGGGGCAGGGCAGAGATTCAAGCTGGCCGCCAATGTGACGACGCCTGGCGCGGCTTCACTTCCTGTGACTATCCGTACTTTTACCATCAGTGCAAGTAGAACACTGAAACACAAGCAAATGGAGTTTTTAAATAATAAACAAATGCTTTTCCTATTAACCTTTTTGATATAATATTTATAAAGTCTTTTCCAAATTAGGAAAGGAACTTAATGCCATCAGTCATTGCAAAGATTCAATAACATCACAAAAAGCCTATCATGAATGGAAACTTTTTTCAAGGAATAAAATTAATTAATTTGGTTTATTCAAAGTATAATTAAAAAAATTTCTCTCAGTGCTTAAACCACTTGAAGACGAGCCCAGAATCGAACACATAATCATATTTAATAAGCGAGTTGCAAGTGTGTGATGCTGTTTGCTGCTCCTGATGCTGCTGTTGTTGCTACTTCTGGTGCTGCGGCTCCTGATGATGATGATGGAGTTGAAGCCAAAGCTAAAGCTGGACCTGATGCAACAAGTGCCTCAGAATAGAGCACAGATGTGCTGTAAACCGGTTAAACAACTGGTCTGCCTTAACGCAATTTGTTAACCTGACTGACAAACTGCGGCCTGTTGATGCAGCAGCAACTGCAACATTTACTGCACTTGCTGCTGTTGCTGTTGCTGCTGCTACTCTGGCTAAGGTGCGATTGCAATTAAGTGGCAGAGCCCCAAAACCAGTTGACCAGCCGTTTCCTAGCTCGATTCTGAATCCTGGCTAGAAGCAAACACTTCATTCATAAAAATTACGCGCCTGTTGCATGATTCTCCAACTAGATAAGAGCTGAGCTCAGGTCGGGGATTGGGATTTCAGCCAGGTTGTGTGTGTGGGGGAACTGAGCCAGTTTCGAGGCAGGCCCAGTTAGGGCCAGGGAAGCAACCTGTTGACGTGCCGGCCAGTTTGGCGGAAAATATACTTGACTGGCAGGAAAAGCGTAAAGGAGCCAGAGCCGGATCCCGAGCCTGCTAAGCCGAACCGAAACGAAAAAAAAAACTCGACTTTCTTGGTAATTAATGAAAGCTGACTGGACTGCTCCGCCGTCTATATCATCTCGGAAGCTCCATCTTCTGCACCATCTGCAGTTGGCTACTGTTGCCGCCAGTTATTAAAATGTTGCGATAAGTTTGGCTCGGTAGCACATTTGTATGCAAAGTGCCAACAGTTTTTCCTTCTTTTTCCTTATTTTTTTCCTTTTTTGATGATGATGCGACCGGCCTGGCCCGGGCAGGAAGTTGTCTCTCTGGAAAGTGATATTGAAAACTGCACTCAGAATGGATTACTTCCTTTTTCCAAGTCCCTTTGGTAGTGAAGAAGTGCAGAAGCAAAGAGGAAGATATGCAGTCGGTTCGGTGGCTGCGATATGGGAAGCGATATGGCCAGCACAAATGGACGATGACAACATGAGAATTGTTTTAGGGGAGAAAGGGTCAAAAGCCCTTCTAAGTTGGCCAAATAGAAGTAACTTTAAGTGAAGTTTTGGCATTTAACCTAAGCCTTAGGTTTGGCCCCCGGGAACAGCTGAAACTAAAGTTAAATGTGTATTTCCATATCTAAGTCAACTGAGTGGGACATTTCCTTTGCTAGGTGACATGGAAATGCTAAGAAACTTTGTGATACCTGGTATTTGTAAAGTTTAAAGGTATATTCTTTTTCTTAGAGTTGGTAGGGACTTAGTGACTATTTGTCTTTTAGCCCTTTTCCAAGTACCGAGTATCAAATATTCAAGCAACTCTGCTCCGATCCTATTTAGATACAAATCTTAGACTGCCAACGGTCTTCTGCACTTCACTTTGTAGTGCCTCAAAAGCTCAAGCTACAAATTGAATTTGCTGTCATTTGCTGCACTCAAGATGCTTTCTCACACCTCCCACTACTCGCCCCAGAGGCGCCACGCCCTCGCCCCCTTTGGCCTGCCCGCATGTTCCGGCAATCAACTGCCACGCCATTTAGCATCATTAAATTACTAGGTCAAAACATCAGTACAGGCCATAAAAAATGTCACAGCTCCCCCCGCCGACTCAAGAAGATGTGTGAGACAAGTAGTGCAGTCTAAGAAATGTACAGGCCCAGAGCACTTGACAAAAAACCCAAAATGAAAAGTCAATTTTGCCTCATTATAGTTCACAACATATAGTACTCCCAGCCGCGGAAAGCTCCACAATAAGTCTTCGTCCCTTCGGGGAATCTCCAGAAATTTGTCAGTGCTGTGTGGCATAATCTGCGCGACATAATTGTAAGCGGCGCAATTATCCATGTCAACGGCGAAATGTTCTCAGAGTCGGAACTGCCTCAAGTGGCCGACGGTCAGCCAATTAGAGCGTTTAAATATTTAAAAAGATAAATCTACAGAATAATGGTAAGAAAAAGAAGAAAACACCACAGCTACTTGATGTAATTTTCAGAATGCGCCACAAAACCTAATGACAAATTTAATGCTCCACTCGAATCGGGAGCGGTGGCGACTGGTAATGGAAATGGGAACTTTTCCAGACGGGGGTCCAACACATGTCGAAGAATCAACAACAAATAACAGAAACAGCCAACCGAAGGGGTAAACCTCAACTTGAAGTCAAGAGTTTGAAGGTTATTAAAAAATTAAAGCAAAAGCAGAAAAACGAGGGGAATGCCGCCTTTCTGCCGCGTTTCTGAGGAGGGAAAGCAAACACATTATTCACTCATTAAAATCATCAGCTTAATAGCCGCAGAATGAAGAAAAAGCGAAAATATATACGAGTTTTTCACAAGCTGGTAAGAATTATTAACAAAAATTCTAGAAAAAAACTCCTCCCTCTTCATGTACATAAATAATGCAATGTGGCCTGGCAAAAAGAAAAGAAAAATGTGTTAAAAAGATGGAAGAGCTAAAAAAAAAGCACAGAAATATAAAAAAAAAACATAATTTGTTGCATATGGGGAAATGGAGTAAGAATAAACCTGGCTTACATTTTTGATCAGGCTGCCATAACTTTCACAGACCCTTCTATAGTACTTCAACACAAAAATTTCCCTGGTATTATTTTATGGAATTTTTTTAAGCGTAAAATTACTATTAAAATGCCAAAACTGTAAAGGCCCAGCTTATTACAGCTCCCTGCATAAAGAAGATAGTAAAA